GCACCCGGCTGGGCCCCGTCCCTCCTCCCCCGGCCCCGCGCTGATGCCTCTGTCCCCCTCAGACCATCGAGCAGTTCGAGTACGACGGGTGCGACAACTGCGATGCCTACCTGCAGATGAAGGGCAACCGGGAGATGGTCTACGACTGCACCAGCTCCTCCTTCGACGGGTGAGTGGGGTCTGGGCCCAGGCCGGCCGCTTTCCCCCGGGGTACCTGGGGACAACCGTGGTGGCACTTCGGTGTCACCAGGCTGCGAAACGACCCCTCATTCCCGTCCCTCTCACAGGATCATCGCGATGATGAGCCCTGAGGACAGCTGGGTCTCCAAGTGGCAGCGGATCAGTGAGTGGTCTTTCCCAGCTCGTTTGAGAGCCAGAGATCCCTTTTCTCCAGCAAATCCTTCTCTGGTGCAGCGGGAGTTGCTCTTTGGGCTGCAGGGGAGGGTTCTGCTCCCAATGAGGGGACATTAGTTAGTGCAGGCAGAGGCTGGCAGGGCGCTTGCCCACCCGGCTGCTGCCTGCGGGGTAACTTGGTGTTTTCTTTCCCCCAGGTAACTTCAAGCCGGGTGTCTATGCCGTGTCTGTGACTGGCCGCCTGCCCCAAGGTAACGCTGCCGGCTTGTGTTAAGGGGAGGCCCCTTGCAGGGGTGGCAGCTGAGGGGTTATTCTGCACGTTAGGCGTTGGGGCTGTAGCCACCTCCGAGGTGACAAACTGGGCGACGCATTGTGCTGTACCTGCGTGATGAAATCAGGATTTGGGGGTTCAGCGCACACCGTGTCATGCGAGCAGAGCACCCCCACCCCGTGTGGGTGAAGGGATTAGCAAAGTGACTGCAAGGAGGAGATGCTGAACGGTTCCAGGGTGCTGCAGACAGGTTTTCTACCTGCAGTTGTTCAGCACCGTGCCGGCCAGAAGCTGGCATTGAAGATGCTGCTGATTAAAACCTGTGATACCAGGCAGGCTATCAGAGGGATAAACTGCGATGAAAAGGTGACTCCAGAAAGTGGGCGCATCTCAAACCGTTCGGCGACAGGGAAACACAAAGGTTTCTCACAGGATGGGGTGCTGTTGTGGCCATCTTGGTGAACAGGTACCCCTTTCCATCGTCACACTGCGCTGAGGGCTTGTGTTAAGGTGGGGTTTGTGCGTTCATAAATGGAGTGGAGGGTGTAGAGGGTTGACCTTATCTCTCTTAATGCAGAAATGGCATCATCCATCTAGCTGAGAGCCCCTACCCTGTACGTAGCCGCAGAGCAGACTCCTAAACTCTGCTCCTTCCCAGGAGCGCTGCGATCCCCTGTCCCCAGGGTGAACGCTGTGCTTGTGTCTGGCATCCCGGGCTCCTTCAGTCTGACCTGAGCTCCGCCATCTGCGTTGGGAAGGATCCCAAGGCTTGAAGCCAAGGTGGCCCAGCTTTGGGCGCCTCCCGAAATCACCAGAGCGCAGCAGAGGGTGGCGTGAGCTCGATGCAGCTGCAGGCAGGGAGCACAGGGCGGCCGGCGGGGGGGAGTGCAGGTGGGAGATGCTGCCTTCGGCCCCGGTCGTCCCGAGGAGGAGGGAGAGGATGGGGGAGCGCAGTAAGCAGCAGGCTGCCCTCGTGGGCCTTGCAGGCTGTCGTTTGGCTGTCCCTTGGTGCGGGGCGCTGGTGGGAGCCGTGCTGGACCCCACGGTGCTCTTCTGCTATCCCTCTTCTTAAGGGGTTACCGAGAAGGTGGCGCGTGCTGGCAGGGCACAGAAGGGACTGAAGGGACCACCTTAAGAGCTTGACCTGCTCAGTACAGTCATAATGTTGAAACATTTTCAGGTGGGAAATAATGTAAGTAAAATCTTTCCCAAGGCAAAGTAAGAGTTGATGTTTGGGTGCTCCGTCTAGGCATTTAAACCAGAAAAGTGAACACTCTTCACATTTCTGTTAGAAGAAATGAAGAGGGTTGTCCAGTTCTTGATCTCTCCAATGAAGGCGACATGACAAGGCAAACAGATTTTTTTTCAGGGCTCCTCATCCCTAGAGACTACTGAAATGTGTTTGTCTCCTTGCTACAGGGATCGTCCGGGAGCTGAAGAGCCGTGGCGTGGCTTACAAGTCCCGAGACACAGCTATAAAAACCTAAGGGGCTCTTGTGCTGCCTGGAGGATTCCCCGGTGCTGCCTTCGGAGAGGCAGCGGGCACATGGAGGGGCACTGCTCCGAAACCTTTTAGCTTTAGCACGTGGGAAACGTAGCCTGGACTCAGAGGGAGCTTCCTGGCTCCTCTCCCTCGGTACCTCTGGACTCTGCCACACCACGCTCTGCCCGCACAGAGCAGAGATGGGGTTTTTTTGAGCCTTGACAAGGGGGGAGGGCGTGAGTGGGTTTGGGAAAGCGGTGTGTTTAATGGTGCTGCACAAGCCTCGGTGTGGGAAAGAGGAGAGCTGGGATGGAGCTGGGTGTATCTTTCAATAAAACACACTGCCTGCGCAGGGTGGAGTCCGGCTCTGTCCTCGGTCACCGGTTTCACCCGCCGCGTGAGGAGCGGATGCTGTGGCGAGGGGTTTCGCGCTCGACCCCCTGCCTGCCAGGCTGCTTGGAGCCTACGTGGAGCTTCTTCCACCGTGGACCACCTTCCTGCCTTGAGAGGGAGATCCTGCCCTGGCTGACTCGGGGTGTCCTTGGCTGTAGGAACAAGCAGGCTAGCGATGGGTGCCTTACAGCTCACGGCTGGATGGAAGACGTGAGGTGATGGCAAGTATTTCATGGGGAGGTGGTTATCTGGAGGTGCCCTGAGCCTGCAGGGTCCTGTCCAAGGGATGTGGAAGCAGGCTTGAAGGACCTTCAGCCGGCCCTTGCTGGCTTCCAGGGCAGGCAGAGTGAGACGAGCCTGTTGCTGGTGTGGTTGGGAGGCAGCACGGGGCCTTGCAGAGGGGAGGGATGGACAAGCAGGGGTGGAAACGCCCATCCAGCCTTGGATTTGTGGAGGTCTGGCTGTTTAGAGTGTCAGCTTGGATAGTGTCTGCATGGCATGGGCTCCTGAGGGGTTTGGTCTCCTTAGCTGATGGCTCTTGCTTAATTTGTTTAGTTCCAGTTGAGCAGCAGCCACCGATCACAAAGGGGCTTGTCCGAGGGCAGAGCCCCAGATCAGTAATTCTGTGAAATAAGCAGGTTGGTTTTTTTCCTGAGATAATCCTGTAGCTGGAAACCTCACTTTTTCTTTTGTCTTTTTTTTTTTTTTTTCCTGTAGACAAATAGTGGAAAACCAACACAGCCTGAAAACTGCATTTGGTTTGGGGTGAAAGCAGCTGCAGCGAAGGGAAAGCGTTGCTGTTGGGGAGCGATGCTGTCAGGAGCGGGGAGCTGGTCTGCTCTCTGTCCTACTCTGCTTTGTAGACCTGGCCCTGAAAAAGAGTCCCAAGTGCTACAGGTCAGCCAGAACGTGGCTTCCTGCGGGGTTTCGGAGCAGATGTGTGGCTGGAGAAGGCTGCGGGGGGGGCTGCGTGGGGGCTGCAGCCTTAGTCGAGACAAAACACTGCAGAGAAACACGTGTTCGACCGCGTTTCTCTTTGGGACTTGCAGACGTGATGCTGGAGTCAAGAGCGTTTGCTCGGTGCGGAGCAGGACCAAGTCCAGTTGGTGGTGGGCTCTGGGCTCCAGCAGATGCCTCCGGGTGCAGGTCACGTTTTGTGGGAAGAGCTGGAAGTGCTTCGGCCCCTGGCCTTGGGGTTAGAGCCTCCTCTTGGGAAGATGGAGCAGAGGGTTCATGTCCTCAGGCAGAGGAGGGAGCTGACTCTGGTTTTCACACATCCTAGGTGAACCCAAACCACTTGATTGACCTGATAATTGTCCTCCAGGCTTGCTTGGTGGCAGAGACTGGGCGGGAGATGGAAATGCCCAGTTAGGTCAGGTCTGTGGGAGAGAGGTGTGACTGTCCCAGCAGCACAGGGCATGACTCCACAGGATGCTCCGGGTTAAACATTTTGGGCATGGCCCTCTGGGCCCTGAAGGGTAATTTCGGACCGGCTGTGCCGTGACAGCCACAGGGTGAGCTGGGATCATCCTGGAGCACGTTCATCCCCTGCGGAAGATTCCAGGAAAGCTGCAGCCAGCGCTGTCCGGGCAGCCGCGGGAGGTTGACGAGAGCTGACAAGGTTCAGAACAAAAAGGGGTCGAGGAGGAGCAGAAGGGCGGCTCTTTCTCCAGCTGGAGGGAGGTGGGTTCTGGGGAGTGAGGTTTTGGGCTCCAGCCAGGTTGGAAGGATGTTGGGGATGATGGAGATCAACCACCCTGGCCGTGCCCAGCCCTCGAAGCCTCAACCCTTCCAGTGCCACGGGGTGGCAGCACGGCTTTGTGGAGCGGGGCTGGAGCCTGGTGATGGGCTGGTGTGAAGCTACTGGAGATGGACACGAGCAAAAGGGACCTGAGGCACATCTCCATCTTTCACAGCGTCTGTCGCTCCCTCCTAGCTTCCCAGGTTGTGTCCCCCTTCCCTGGCTCTAGCGTTGGGGATGGCCATGCTGGAGCTGCTCCAATGCTGGAGGCGCATCAGGCCACCTTGTCCCCACGCTGCAGAGGAGGTGACAACAGGGCTCCGGGCAGGGTGGGCTTGTTCGGCCGCGCTCGGGGTGTGGGTCTGCAGGCACGTTTGTTCCCATCTCCCTTCCCGGGAAGCCGCAGTCTTGAAGTAACACAGCCACTGCCCGGGGCTGGGAGCTTTACTTAGCAAATTGTCCCCAGGGAGCAGCGTGCGTTGTCACCGTGTCTCTCAGGGAAGGTGAGGGGGCTTGTAAACCCCACAGGAACCTCGCCCCTTGCAAGGAGGCGCAACTGCTCCAGGTTATAGTGAGCTAAGACCAGCGAGAGCTGCAGTGCAGGTGCAATAGAGCCGGAACAGCGAGGCAAACGGGCCGAGGGCTGGTGGTCTTTCAAAGAGAGCTGCCCCTCCCCTGCACGCAGCAGCTCGCAGCGCTTCCCAGAACCCGGTGCCTTGAATCGGGCTGATTTCGGTGAGCCTCTTCCCTGCGCGCTCGCCCACACGTGCGCCGCCATCTCCCGGCCCACGCTGCCCGAGTGATTCATTGCTCCCGGGCTGCCGGAGCTGAGCGTTGAACCTCTGCAAAGCACCTGAAACGAGCGTTTCGCTTCGACTCCAGCCCTGGAGCTGCCAGGGTTTTGTAGCGGTAGAAAGCAAACGGATGCGGAGCTTTATTTGCTGAGGAAAGTAGGGCAGGGAGCCTCTCACGTTGAAGAAACTGGAGGAAAAATGTGCAGCGGCAGCCCGGGCAGTCATCGGGAGAGAAAGCGTCAACCGGGCAGGGAGCTGTAGATCTGAGTCAATTTAAGACGGCTCCTCCCCCTGCACCAAATGACGCTAAAATATTTCAGCCAGGCCTGAAAATCCTGCAGGTTTGGCATCCGAAACAGCCTGGCAGCGCTTGGGCAGTGGCAGCGGGGGGGTTGGGGGGCCGGGGCAGCCCCCGGCAGCGTGGGCAGGAAGCACGAGCTGGTGGATTTTGGGTTTTGAGAACTGATACCCCGGCTCTCCCTCCGGGTGAGAAAAGTGACTTTCCAAAACCGCAGAGCACACGGTGTTTCTGGGTGCAGCGGCTGCTGGCGGTGCTGGGAAATGCCCGTCCGAGCCGTCCCCACCTGTGCGGGGGCCCCTTCGGGTGCCGCTGCGGGGACAGGGA